AAAAAAAAAAAAAAAAAAAAAAACCAAACTGTTAATTAAAGGATAAAATTGCATAAACTTTTAAAAGTTTTCCTTTACCCATTTGTAAAGCAGAGGTAATGATCAAAACCATTTGCAGGGCTGCTGTGAGGATCAAATGAACCATTGTGTGGTGTGTGCTTAGGTACGCTCAGTAAATGTTAGCTATTAATATTTTCAAGCCAAGTAGCCCATTAGTTTTGTGATTGTATGTTTGATATTTTTCCTGCTAGGCATGAAAGCAAAGATCTTGTCTTGTTTCCTACTGCATCACCAGTGCTCAGCACATAAATTAATGTTTGATAGGTAAATAAGTAAATTGGCTAGAACCAAGGCACTCCCCTCATTCTGGGGGTAAATTTTAATTTTTATATCATTGTCCACTGAAATAAAAATGCACAATGTGAGAGCTGTTTCAGTTTTATTTGGGGACCTACTAACGACTATAGCCCAGGGGGAGACAGCCTCTTAGATAGCTTTGAGGAACTGCTCCAAAGAGGTGGGCGAGGTTGGTTTATATGTGATTTTGGAGAATGGGTATGAGCAATCAAGCACACATCTCAGTAGAAGGTTGCTGTGAGTCACGAGGAACACATATCTCAGTTAATGACATTAGTGTCTTTCTAGGTATGAAAATATGCAAGAAATTGGGCTCCTAAAATTTTCTCCTGAAAATATCTAACCATCTGAAGACCTGTTCTGCCAGTTTTCCCAGAACAGAGAGTGCCTCATTCCTGATCATCGCCCCTGTGTGTTGAAGGTCAGAGACTACGGTGGCTAATGACTCAATCCTTGTAGAACCAGGTGTCAAGAGACCTTCTTTAGTTGGCATCTGAAACTTAAAGAAAAGTTGCAAAAATTATGTAAGGAACTTCCATATACCTTTCACCTAGATTCACCACTTGCTTACATTTTGCCTCATTTCCTTAAATCATGCGCTCAATTTTTATACGCCTGAATTTTTTTCTGAATCATTTGAAATTAAGTTGGAGACACTGTGCCCTTTTACCCCTAAATACTTGAGTGAATATTTCCTAAGAACAAGGGTGTTCTCTTAACATAACCACAATACAATGATCAAATGTAGAAATTTTAACATTGATACCCAACCCCTAAACCATGATCCATATCCAAATTTCGTCACTTCCAGGAGGCACATAATCTTTACTTGACCTATAACTGGTGATGTTAACTGATCATTTTGATTCACTTGTTCTGCGAGGTTACACCTCTGTGAAATTCTTATTTTCCCTTTGCAATCAATAAGTAATTTATGGGAGACCCTTTACTGTGTAACCATCCTGTTCCTCTAGCTTTACCGTCCATTACTGATTTTCTAACTCCGTCATATCTGCTAGTTGTCATTCTACTAAAAGGAAGAATTTCCCCTTCTCCCCCATTTATTAATCACTTCTTTATTTATATCAGTAAAGAGTCATTGGGTTATAATTTTATTCAGTTATATTCTGTTACTATCATTATATATTTTGCTCAAATTGCCCAGATTTGGCCAGTGGGATCTCCTTCAAGTTAGCTCCTGTGTCCTATGACATATTCCCATCATTCTGATTCCCATCATCCTTACACTCTGTTCCAACAAAAATGTTCCAAGCACGTCTGGGGCTTTCCATGCCCGGATTTACGCTTTTTAAAAAGCTGCCAAACGGTCCCTGTGTTTTTCCGCTTCCTGCCAGCAGGCGGAACCTTAGAGCCCAGTATCTGGGGCCGAAGCACAGCGGCGCGGACAAACCTTTTCCGGTTGTGGCCGGAAGTCCCTGGAGAGCGGCGGCTCTGAGTCAGCTGACCAGGGTCCGCGTAGGAGGAATCTGAAGTCCGGCCGGCCGGACTGACCCAGCTAAGGGGCTGGCTGGGCGGCCGACGGACGGACAGGCTGGGGCGGCCTTGGCGGCGTTAGCTGAGCAGAGGCAGGTACATGAGGGGTTGGGGCGGCAGGTGGGGGCCGTCCATGTTGAGGGACGCGGGCGGGGACCGGGTTCCGCCTTCAGCAGGCCTACGGGCTGCGACACCTGAGCCCAGGAGCACAGAGACAACAAGTCCAGCTCTGGCCCGGGCCATTCACCCCAGAAGGGAGGTCAGGCTTGTATTGTGGTCTTTCGTCCAGTGATTACAGTTTGGGGAAACTGAGGCCCCAAGTAGGGAAAAGGCCCCCACAAACTCTCCTTTCCAGGCAGAGACTCACTCTAACTCTGACTTCCAGTCGAGGCCGCCTCTCTCATATGGAGGTGCTTTTAATGAGTTTGCCCCGAGTGGAGAGGCCGAGGCCCGGAAGCGCGCTGAATAGAGTTGGGCTTGGGAGTAAGAGGCCCGACTCTGAGACTTCGTCGCCCGACAGCCAGTTGTGCTTTATGAGCCAAATCCTTTCCCTGTGTCGGGCCTCAGTTTCCTCATTTGTAAAACAAGGCAGTGTATCTCTAAATATGGTTCTCACAGCCTCTGCTTTGAAATACCCTACGGTGCATACTTCACAGTGCAGGACTCAAATAAGACTCATTTAGAATCTGGGTCAGAACCAGGGAAACTATGTTTTGAACATGCTCCTCGGGGGTCCTCTGCATACCGATGTTTGAAGCCCACTGATCTTAAGTGCTTTCTTGCTGTGAGTTCTAGATATGCATTCTTTGCTTTGAGGCAGCTGGAACTTGTTCAGGATCTTTGGGGGGCGAGGGTGGTGGCTGGCGAGAATGTTTAGCCCAGAAAAGAGAGCAATGGAAGGGAAAACAAAACAGTCTCATCAAAAACAGAAAAGATTGTTATGGTGAAGAGGGCTTCCACTTCATCTTTGCGGTTGAAAGAGGCAGAAACTAGGACCAATAGGTGGATTCTACAGGAAGACAAAATTTTGATTTAATAGGAGAACTTAATGCTGGCCACAGGTGACCAGCAATGGAATGGATTGCCTCCAGAGTTAGTGAACTCCCTGTCAAAGGAGTTACTAGATGGAGGTCCTTTTCAACTTGAAAGTGTCTAATTCTGAGTAGTTACTTTGAGTCTTTCTGGTGCTGCCTTCTTTTTTAATGCCCTCTTTTCTTTACATCTCCATCCCCCCAGCCTACATCTCTAGCAGTGAGGCCAGTGGGTTTGAACTTACGTCATCTCTTCCTTGTCCTGTGTACCATCCTTCTTTTCAAGGACTTTGGAATGGCCCATCTGATAAGGGCTCCTTAAATGTTTGTTGAATGAATAACTAAGCAGGGTCCCCACCCCATCAGTTTTTAGCTTACTAACTTGGAAATGAATCTGAAGACTTTGATGTGGAGAAGCCAGTGAACTCTTTGGACTCACAGAGCTGAAGAGTATGGATTGGAAGGAGGCTGTTCAAGCCAGCCTCCCCCAGCTCCAGGACATAAATCCCTCTTTAATCCTCTCTCCAGCAATGTGTTGTTATAGATGTTGTGTCTACTGAGAGAGTTTTTGCAATCTGTTGGCTAATTTCATCAACATTTAAAACCAGTCCTGTGATGGACTTGACTTGCCAGTTCATCTTCACATGTAATCTGCAGATAATGCTTCTAGCATATCTTTAGTTTTCTAATTAAACATCAGAGCTCCTTATTTTGTGATTTACAAAACTCCAAGCAGATCACTTTTTAGAAACCTGTTAGAATGCTTACGTTGCCCTATAGAACAGAGGTTCCATATTGACCCAATCCTGCTGGAATGCCAAAAAAAGGTTGGGTTTGAGCCAAGACTTCCTGCCTGTGTTTATCTTCCTCCCTTTTTTTTTTTTAATCTTCCTCCCTTTTTTGTTTGTGTTTCCTAGGATGTAAAAAAAGTTGTGAAATGCTTATTCAGATATTATCCAGGCGTTGAGTAAAATGATTGTAATTTAGTGGTGTCTTTAAAACTTCTCAATTTGAAATTTTCCTCTTAAAAAAGTACCTAAATCAGCATTTTCGGAAAATCGAACCAAGTACATAAGGTTTTATTGGAACACAGCCACACCCTTTAATTTACATACTGTTTTTGGCAACAGAGTTGCCCCAAAGACCATATGGTCTGCAAAGTCTAAGGTATTTAATGTACAGTGCTTTTCAGAAAAAAAATTGCCAACCCCCTGACCTGCTCCATGTACTTTCTTTTTTACTTTTTATTTTGAAATAATTTTAGACTTCCAGAAATAATACACAAACTTCCTGTGTACTCTTTACCCAACTTTCCCTAATGTTAACATTTACATAACCATAATAACATTGTCTAATAAATTTAACGTAAATACAGTACTACTAACTAAGCTATAGGCTTTATTTAAGTTTTGCCATTTGGCCCACTAATGTCCTTTTCTGCTCCAGGATCCAATCCAGTTTCCCGCATTGCATTTAGTATCAAGTCTCCTTAGTCTCTTAAATCTGAGACAGTTCCTCAGCCTTTTTTGTCTTTCATGACTAAACTTTTGAAGAGAACTGGCCAATTGTTTTGTAGACTGTCGCTCAAATTTATTTTTTTGAGGTAGAATTCACATATCATAAAATTCACCATTTTAAAGTGTGAATGTTCACAAAGTTATGCAACCATCACCACTGTCTTAATTCCAGAACATTTTCATCTTCCGAAGAAGCCCTGTACATGTTAGCAGTTTCTCCCTAGTCTCCCCTCTTCCCATCCCCTGGCAACCACTAATCTGGAATCACATGTATGTGGCCTTTTATGTCTGGCTTCTTTCATTAAGTGTAATGTTTTTGGGGTTCATCCATGTCATAGCATGTGTCAGTACTTCAGTCCTTTTTATGGCTGAGTAATATTCCACTGTAGGGATATACTGTGTTTTGTTTATCCATTTGTCAGTTGATTGACATTTAAGTTGTTTCTGTCTTTTAGTTGTTATGACATGCTGCTCTGAACATTCATGTACAAATTTTTGTTTGAACATATTTTCAGTTCTCTTAAATGTGTTTACGTAGGAGTGAACTTGCTGGGTCAATGGCAACTCTATTTTTAACTTTTTGCCTGCCGAACTGTTTTCCACAGCAGCTGACCATTTTACATTTTCTTTAAAAAAAAAAAAAATTTTATTTATTTTTGGCTGTGTTGGGTCTTTGTTGCAGAGCACTGGTTCTAGGTACACGGGCTTCAGTAGTTGTGGCACACAGGCTTAGTTGCTCCACGGCATGTGGGATCTTTCTGGACCAGGGATTGAACCCATGTCCCCTGCATTGGCAGGCAGATTGTTAACCACTGTGCCACCAGGGAAGTCCACCGTTTTACATTTTCATTAGCAATAAATGAGGATTCCATTTTCTCCACACCCTCTTCAACATTTGTTATTGTCCTTTATCATTATTTTTTTTTTCCACCGTAGTGGGTGTGAAGTGGCATTTCATTGTAGTTTTATTTGCATTTCCCTAAGGCTTTTCACGTGCACGTTGGTCATTTCTTCTTTGGAGAAATGTCTATTCAAATACTTTGCCCTTTTGTAATTGAGTTACTTGTCATCATGTATAATTTTACATGTAAATATTCAGAGTTTGTAGATCCCCTGAAGCCCCTTGAAGTAATTCATTGAGAGCTGAACTGCAAAATCTGAGGCAGTGCCAGTAACTCCGTGACCTGATGGCAGTTGGATTTGGACATGTTGAAGTGCAGAGTGAGTTGTATGTCTGAAACTGCTGACTACTCAGAGGTTGGTTCAACCCCAACCACTGCTGACCATGCAGAGCTGGGGCGGCCATGTCAGGTGAAAGGGGTACTGCAGCATCATCCCAGATATGATAAGACCACTAGGAGATCCTGTAATTTGGGAGCTACTCTTGTGTTTGTCTGGTCACAGGCAAGGAGTCGAGGAGTCAGTGGTAGTTGGAAATGCTCGGGACTGGTGATGGCCTTGGGCAGCTGCCTGAGGTGGCAAAGCTACCAGTGCACCCATGCTTCTCTTGACCCCAGAGCATTTGGCTCTAACTAGACTATCTTGAAAACACACATCGTCAGACACACACCCCCCAGTAATTCTAATTGTGAAAGTAATATGTGCTCATATTAGACATTTTGGAAAATACAGGAACTGCCCTAGAATTTTCTGCAGCAGCTGTATCATTTTACATTCCCACCAAAAGTGCACAAGCATTCTGATTTTTCCACCTCCTCACCAACACTTGTTTTCTGTTTGTTTTTTAAATAGTAGCCATCCTAATGGGTATGAGATGGTATCTCATAGTTTTGATTTTCATTTCCCTAATAATTAGTGATGTTGAGCATCTTTTCATGTTGTTATTGGCCATTCGTATATGTTCTTTGGGGAAATGTCTATTCAAGTCCTTTGCCCGTTTTTGAATTGGATTGTTCATTTTTTTGTTGTTGAGTTTTAGGAGTTCTCTATGTATTCAGGATATTGATCCCTCTGATATATGATTGGCAGATATTTTCTCCTATTCTGTGAGTTGCCTTCTTACTCTGTTCATAGTGTCTTTTTTTTTTGGCCGCGAGCCTTGCAGGATCTCAGTTCCCCAATCAGGGATTGAACCCGGGTCACAGCAGTGAAAGTGCCAAATCCTAACCGCTAGACCACCAGGGAACTCCGCTGGTCTATCTTATAAATGCTCTCCTGATGGTCCTCCTTGGGACCTCCTATTGAAAGGAGAAGTGAGATCACATTGTTTTTGTCAGGTATATGCTGATGTTATTAAAACTCTTAGAAAGTTTTCTCCTTAGTTGGTTAAACCTTGTCGACCTTATTCATTTTCTTGTTACTCTACCTTTAGAGTATTTCAGAGGTCTTCAGCTCAGCCGCAAGTAAAATTTGAATTAATAAGATTTTATAGAATCTGAATTTAATAAGAATTTACTGACTGTGTGAAAACAAAAGCAAAACTCTCACTTTGAAAACTTCTCTGATGACAAAGGAAGGACAGACACAATTACCCCATTTGCAGGTGAGGACCCTGGCTTAGTTGAGTGGCAGAGCTGAGCATCAGACT